CATTTACTTAAAGTATGGCTCGACTTCTGGGCAGTTCAGTAAAATATAAGTACGGGCTGCATGAAATTCTTCGCTGATAAGTATGGCCCGACATGAGCCGCTTGGTCGACCCAGGATAATTGAAAATAGAGAACGCTGTGCAATTGGGATCAATGGGGCCCTCATCATTTCTGCTGCTCTCCGCCTCTTGCACTGAACGTACGGCTCAAAATAGTATGATGCAAATGTTGTCACTTCTTCCACAATATATGCATTACAAATTGAAGCTTCAACACGTGCCTTATTCTTCACTTTTTTCTTCAAATGATATAAGAATCTAGTTGAAATAGAAAGAAGCTTATCGGAACATATTATATGATAAACTAATTTGAACTGTATTTTAAAAAAAAACATTACCTCTCAAATGGATACATTCATCGAAATTGGACGGGACCTGCAACTTTGGCTTCATAAGGCAAGTGAACTAAGAGATGCTCCATCGAATCAAAAAACGCTGGAGGAAATATCATTTCTAAGTTGCAAAGAATAATTGGAATATCTCTCTCTAGTTTTTCCATGTGCGATGCTTTTAACACTGTCGAGCAAATATCATGGAGGAAATTGCTTAACTCTGTAATGGCGCCCCATACAAAGTTCGGTAGAACTTCCTTCAAAGCTATTGGAATTAGTCTTTCCATCAGGATGTGACAATCATGACTCTTCAAACCTGTGAACTTGCATTCATTCAAATCAACACATCTCCCGAGGTTCGAAGCATATCCATCAGGAAACCGCACAGATTTCAACCATTGACAAACAACTCGCCTCTGCTGCTTATCCAATGTATAAACTGCTTTCGATTTTGGTCCCCTGCTGCTTGCATCCATAGCTAGTATTGGCCGATCGCAAATATCTCTCATATCTTTTCTTGCGTTCAAGTTGTCTTTTGTTTTTCCGGCGACATCCATCACAGTATTTATGACATCGTCGAAAACATTATTTTCTATGTGCATGACGTCAAGATTATGATGAATAAGATGAGCCTTCCAATATGATAGATCCCAAAATATACTGCGTTTTGTCCACTTATGTGTACTTTCGTACGCAAAAGTCGTGCCGTGCGGGTACTCAACAACAGTTAGAAAGTCCTGCACACGCTCTCAAATTTGATCGCCGATCCAACCTCATTGGTGGGCCGCGTTCTTTCGATCCTATTCTTGGTGAACTCTTTCTTATTCCTTCGAAAGGATGACTTGGCGGTAAAAATTATGCACGTGATGATCAAAATAGCTGGGCTTCTTTCCATGTTTTAATCTAAATGACTTTGACCTCTCCAAACATATCGGACATCCTAAGATCCCAGCTGTACTCCATCCAGATAACATTCCGTAAGCTGGAAAGTCATTTATCGTCCAAAGAAGGGTAGCCTTCATTACAAATGTTTGATCGGTAGAAACGTCATACGTAGGGACACCTTCAACCCATAGCCGTTGTAACTCCTCAATCAATGGTTGCATATAAACATTTATCAACTTTTTCGAATTTTGCGGCCATGTCACGATCAATGTCAAAAACATATAAGGTGTCTTCATGCACATACCAGGTGGAAGATTGTACGGCGTTAAGATAACTGGCCAACATGAATAACTTTTTCCTGTTTTCCCAAATGGAGCAAATCCATCGGCACAAAGACCTAACCTGATGTTCCGAGGCTCCATCGCAAACTCAGGGTATGTTCTATCAAAATGTTGCCATGCCTCCGCATCTGAAGGATGACACATTAGACCCTCCTCTTGTTTCATGATTTGCATGCCAAGTCATGTGTTCAGCAGTGGCTTTAGACGCATAAAGCCTTTGCAATCTGGGGATTAAGGGCAGATAAAACATTTGCTTGCATGGTCTACGCTTCTGATTACGACCCGGCCTCCTGTTAATCTTGTACCTAGGTTGGCTACAGAATTTGCAAGATTCTGCATTTTCATCATCTCTCCAATATATCATACAACCCCTACTACATACATCAATCCTTACAACCGGAAGACCTAAGTTATTCACTAGCTTTTTCATATCATAAAAATCACTTGGCATGATGTTATCACGAGGCAATGATTCCCGCATTACTTCAACAAAAGAGTTGAAGCAATCCGCAGACACATTATGCTCTGCCTTAATATTTAATAGTCGGGTTGTCACCGATAACTTAATGTGGTCCTCACAACCTGGCCATAAAGGTTCATCTGCTACTTTCAACACATCCCGGAACTGATTAGATTGAAAAGTTTCATTATAGACATTCTCATCAAAACCCGTTACTCCTATATCTTCCAATTGTGAAGCATGACTAGTACTCACTTGTTCACGTATAGGAGTAAAACTAGTACTTGCATGATTTGATTCTGTGACAAAATTATAACTAGCTGCATCAATCACCATCCTCTCGTATGGGTTCAATTGTTCATAATAGCCACATTCTTCCCTAACTGAAAATTGGTCACTTCTTCCATATCCTTCATCAAATATAAATGGTTCACCATGGGAAGTCCAATTATAATAGTTCGGACTAAACCCAAATCTAGTAAGGTGTTCTCTAACTTGATCACACACAAGAAATTTACCATTACCGTACTTTTTACACGGACACCTTAACTTATTTCCATCCATGAACTCATATTTACTACTAGCAAAGTCTAAAAATAGTTCCAACCCAGTACGAAACTCATCTGTCAATCCTTGACGTCCAGGTAAGTTCTTATTATACATCCAAGCCCTTTCTCTTTGCATTGTGTCTGTATTAAAATAAAAAATTATGGTAAAATATTTAAAATATCATATCTATTGCTCTTAATTAAAACCATAAAATTTTTGAAATTATAATTTTTATTATTCACGCAACAATTAATATGAAATTGCAAAAATAGAAAAAATTACCATGTAAAGAAGACTTACCCAAATATTTGATTGAAATATTGGTAGGAGAAAGTGGTCAATTTGATGAGAATTGCAACGTCCACTTGGATTGCGAGACCTTCAATTAGACACATACCCAAAAAGAATAATCACTGAAGAATCATTTTTTAATAATTTTTAATGTGCAATGGAAAATGGAATTCATCCGTCGCAAATTTGCGACGGATTGCCTTTATTCCGTCGCAAATTTGCGACGGATTTCATTTATTCCGTCGCAAATTTGCGACGGAATTTTCACTTATTCGTCGCAAATTTGCGACGGAAATGGCCGTTCTGCCTCATCCAAAGGCCGGCGAGGTGTCCACGGTCGTTCAACCGGTGATGCAGATACGAAAAAAAAACAAACATAAACATATATAAAATAAAAAAAATTACAATTCAACGATGAATAGTCACGAAGCTAGCTAATGATACTTACCAGTACAAAAGCTTCACCGAGATTAATATATGCGTGAGCGAATTTTGCTGATTTCAGACATATGAAAGAGGGAGAAAAGCGAGAGAGAGCGAGAGAGAGATAGGGCTGGAATATCACGGGCTAATAAACTACAAATTTGCGACGGACGTGCGTTTTCATCACAAATTTGCGACGGATGTGGCGACGGTTTTTTTTTCCGTCGGAAATTTGAGACGAAAATTTTGCGACGGATTTATTTTCCGTTGCAAATTTGCGACGAACTTATTTCCATCGCAAATTTGCGACGGTTTTTTTTTTCCGTCGCAAATTTGCGACGAACTTTTTTCCGTCGCAAATTTGCGACGAAATTAGCGACGGTTTTTTATTTCCGTCGCAAATTTGTGACGGAATTTGCGACGTATAAAAATTCCGTCGCAAATTTCTGACGGATTATTCATCCGTCGCAAATTCCGTCGCAAATTTGCGACGGAAATAAGTTCGTCGCAAATTTGCGACGGAAAATATAATCCGTCGCAAATTTCGTCGCAAAATTTGCGATGAAAAATTTCCGTCGCAAATTACATGTTTTTTTGTAGTGTTAATTTACTACACTTTATCTTTTAATGTACCTTTATTATTTTTTTTGACGAATTGGTTGTGATTCTTTTATATCACTTTTGCGTCGTCATTTGCGTGTTCTAGTTAAATATTAGGTTACATTTTTAGGATCATAATAATTACAAAAACATCGCATAAAACATTTAGCTGACGGCAGCTTTAGGACTCATAATATAATGAAAGACCGTATGTGACACTTAGTTGACAAATAATCAATTTTAGGTATCGAAAACGCATTAGTCGGATAACTAGTATAATCAAATCCCTGACCCTATATATATTTGGTTGCATAGGAAGTGAGCTACGTGGTTTTGTCCTTTGGTGTACTTGTTAGAACACTATCAAGATGCACACTTAACTTTGGAGTTTTAAAACAAAGTTAGCATTTACCTCAAAAGGTGCCTTCGTGAATTAATTCTAATTTGTGCGTGCGCGCGCGTGCACACACACATATTTATCATAGGCATGCTCTGCCCCTATCGAAGTACAATTCGGTTTATCTTGCCTCATTTGTCGTCCTAAAAGCCTACTAGGAGTTGTTCCTTATTTAATCTCTCTGTCCCCGGTGACCACTCTCCGCCCTTGTCGGACCAAGTCGTTACATTACAAGTGAGGGTCGGTAGGTCCTCACGACGATCAAACAAGGGTCAATTAAACCTCTCGTTGTTTCAAGCATGTGGTGGCACTGCCGCCACCACGCGCGAGGGTTATTGCTCTCACCTATGGCCAAGCAAGGATTCTCCGACCTCATTGGTAAATGTGCCCCCAACCCAACCCTCCAAAATGCAGAAAAATAAGATGAAAAACACATTATTTGACTATATTCTCCTTATATTCAGATTCCGGAATGACGCAGAGATGTTCAAGCATCGACTTCGGCTAGAACGAAACAATAAGTACCGGTAGCAGTAATTGCAAGTAGTGTACATAATACATATGATGTAGTGAAGAAAAATAACCATTGACCTGAAGCCAGGACATGCTCAAATCCATACATATCTACATGAGCCTGATACAGGGTTTTGGTCGATGCCTAGATTGCCGACGATTACTAGTATCAAAACTGACAGATGTTCGGCCCATTTGGCGCTTCCCTAGTGGTCAGCGAATTGCCGCGAGACGGTTCCTCTTCCACACCAATGGTCGGTAAATCTTGTTCTGGTTTTCTTCAAACCGATTCCACGGGAGTTTGTGCTTTGCCATCTTTCGCCTCCTTGAGGCGACTCCCAAGTAATCTCCAACATTCTGTTAGGATTAAGCAAGAGAAGCGTAAGAGTTCGACGCAGGTATAAAAAGATAGGACTAAATTCCTAGCACAGATGATTATGTACTTCAGTTGTGAAATATGATCAGTGAATTTGTAATATGAATGAGCGATGTTGAAATTGACTAAAGAACCTGAAGCCTTAAGATTCAAGTTCACATACCCTGAGACACAGTCCCTCTTCAACATCACAGATCGGATAATTACTCGGGCAGCAATCGCCGGTCCCGGTGCAACACACCACATTCTCATAAGGACAACAGCTGTAAATTAGGCAGAGATCGTAGAACTCAAAGAGGCAATAGCACGTCTCGTCGCTGGGGCAATACGAGAAGTCTCCGCATTCGGTGGGCGAAGGAGACGGGGACGGCGGCAATTGATGGGATAAATTTGAAGGTGAAACACTCAAAATTCACACAATCTCAGAGAGGAGAAGGAGATGGATAGACTTCTTTGTTCTCTTTATTTCATCTTATATCTCATATCTTACACAATTACAAGACTTACCTTAATGTAGGCTTTATACATGACTCTTGAATAAACTCATAAATGACTCGTAAATAAGAGCAACATTCCAATGAGATAGACTTCTGGGAACTCTCAAAACATTAACTAGACATCGAGACACGAAGAGATGCTTTGAAAGCAACAATATAATAAAGACTCTATTTAACTCATGACACTGAATAGTCATCAATATCGACAACTCGGTAGTTCATCGATGGTCTCGACATCAACACATTTCATCGATTCCCTTGACAAGCCTAAAACAATGAATTTGATTTGTTAGTAACAGACGCGGAAATATAAATACAGAACACAGGGATTTACGTGGTTCGATCACAAGGTGATCTACGTCCACGGGTGAGGCAAGACAAGATTCCACTATAATCAAATAGAGTACAGTTTTCAGAAGTCGAAACAACGACAAAAGCTCACGGCTCACAAAACTCTCTGAAAACAAAATTCTCTCACTATCCAATGAAAAAACCCTAGCCGCAGTATAAATAGTGCTCCCAAAAAATAGTGCTCCTAAATCTCAATTTTTCTCCACTTTCGGGTCGCACAAAAAATATGTCGGGTCGGGTGATAAATTGGACCGAGTACATAAAATTCAAGACATATTTAACATGATTTAATTTCTAACACTCCCCCTTAAACCAAATTCCGTTCCATTGATCATTCCAAGTAGGCTCTTCAACAACTGAAATGCATCGACCTTGAGAGGTTTCGTAAAAATATCGGCTACTTGATCTCCGGTCTTCACATGAGAAATTTCGATCTCTTTCTCTTTTACTTGCTCTCGATTGAAATGATATCAAACATCGATATGCTTGTTTCGTTCGTGAAAAACTGGATTTTTCGCCAAAGCAATCGCAAAAACATTATTGACAAAAATCTCCGTCGATTTCACTTGCTCCATGTGAATCTCTTTGAGTAACCTTCTCAACCACATCGCATGACAAACACATGAGGACGCTGCTACATATTTAGCTTCACACGTTGATAGAGTAATACTGGGTTACTTCTTTGATGACCACGCAAAAGCAGTGTCACACAAGAAAAATACAAAGCCCGTAGTGCTTTTTCGATCATCGATGTCTCCACCATAATCACTGTCTAAATAGGCTCTAAGCTGAAATGATTTAGACTGAGTGTAGTGTAAGCCATGATCAATAGTACCGCTTGCTCAACCGGTGCTTGCATCAGCCCGCGACCAGTTATCTTCAACCCCAAAATTGCAAGCCGACAATTCAGTTGGTCCCAGTCTCGTCCGACGCTATAGCTTGTTGTTTTATTGTTCTTACCACACCCGAGTTTTATTTTACAGGATCACTTAAGGCTGGTCTAGCATTGATTGAGTCAATATTCTTCATCCAAGCAAACTCCATTTTGCTAATATCCTTGTGGAACTGTCCATGCTGTTGTCAACGTAAAAGCCCTCTCACGACCGAGCACTTACAAATGTGAGTCCTACCGAGAGCTATTGTCACCATACCGAACCTCATCCGCAAGCCGTGATCCACGATCCCGAGGTGTTACGAAGTTAGAAACATTATCTGCAAGATTAGGTAAAATCTCATCCGAATTTGATTTGGATAATTTATTGCCTAATATATGTTTATCAATATCTAATGTGCATATTTTGAGTGATAAGCATAGATCGATTAGGATTTATCTCCTAATCCGCAACGCAATATAATCTTTTGATTCTATCTATAAGCCCTTAGATGGAATTATTAGATTGCGCGGTCAGAAAATTTATCTTGATCTTTGAGCCTTAAGATTAAGATATTGATTCTATATTTGCGAAAATATCAAGTTGAGATAATGTTTCCAATTTTGAATTATCGATATTTTTGGTGAATGATATTTTTCTTATCTTTGATTGTTTTCCTAAAAAATTACAAAAAAAATCGCATGTCATATAGATTACTCTTAATTTTTTTTTAGGTAAGGATTACTCTTAATTTTTTAAATAAAAGAAAACCCAAAAAAAATATTAGATTGTTTTGGTGTGTTTATTTGCTTTACTTCCTTCCAACTCAATAGCTTGCTTTGTTAATTGATTGTTATTTTAATGGTTGCGCACTCGCTTGATCACTCCCTACATGTTAGTAACCTAGGTTAAAATCAATCCAAGTTGCCTGCTAAATATTTTTTAATAAAAGTGAAAAGGTACCGAAATGGGCATTAGGTTAACCTGGTGTAATCAGGTCCCCGAATCCATAATCTCTGGTTCGTAGGAGTAAAGTAGAACTCCCGATACTTTACTTGGGTTTCTAATCGACCCACCAAAAATAGATTAGTGGCGACTCCTAATTGAAATGATCTTGCATGATAAATAACTTGAACTTAAGTTGCGAATTGGTATGGGCTTGGGAGAGCCCGAGCTAGGTTTAGACTTAGCAATACATTAGCCAAAGCCCTATGTAGTGCACCACGGGAGGTTAGGTCGCAACAATCGGTCATCTTAAATTCCTTCACCATCGACGTTTTAAATGCATCGATCATCGATGGATTATTTCCCGTAAAAATAAGATCATCGACATATAAACATGCCAACAAAACATCACCTTTTTCATGCTTCAAATAAAATGCATGCTCGCATGGACATTGAGAGAAGCCATTTGCTTTGAAATAGGCATCGATTCTAGAATTCCATGTTCTCGGGGCTTGTTTAAGTCCATAGACAGTTTTCTTCAACCGCAACACTTTGTCTTCATGACCTTTCACAATGAACCCCTTGGATTGCTCAACATAAATCTCTTCATCGAGGATGCTATTTAAAAATGCTGATTTGATATCTATTTAATAAATTCGTTAATTATTTTGTACTACAACCGAAATCATCAATCTAACCGCTTCCATGCAGATGACAGGAGCAAATATCTCTTCATAGTCGATCCCGGGTTTTTGCTTGTACCCCTTCACGACTAACCTGGCCTTATACTTTGCCATGTCTCATTTCTCATTTTTCTTGGCTTTATACACCCATTTCATACCGATCAATTTCTTGTCCTTCGGAAGAACCCGCAAGTTCCCATGTTTGATTCTTCTCGATGGCTTCAATTTCTTCATTCATGGCTTTTCTCCATTATTCTTCTTTGGCAGCATCATCGTAAAGAAGTAGTTCACAATCGGCAAGAAGACACACAAGGTGAAGCTCATCGGTACTTTCATAAATCTCGGACAATCTCCTCGTTCTTGGCACCAACGGTTCATTGACACCGTTTGAAGAAGTCGACGGTGATGAACTCGAAGAAGATAGTGGAGAAGAAGGTGAAGAGTGATCCTTCAACTCCATTTGGCTGGAATCACCACAAACATTTACATCATCTTTTGGATAGTCTTCCCACAAGCCTCCTTCATCGAACTTGACATCTTGGCTTATATACACTTTCAAAGTGTTCGGATTAAATAATCAATAGGCTTTAGAAGAAGAGTCATACGCAATAAACATGAGCTTTTTGCTCTTGTCTTCCAATTTTGATCTTTTTTGGTCCGAGATGTGAGCATATGCAATGCTCTAGAAAATTCTCAAATATGAAACACTAGGTGTTCTCCCGCTCCACGCTTCTTGTGGAGTTACGCCTTCAAGGCCATTTATGGGACATCTATTTTGTAGATATACTGCACACATAATAGCGTCACCCCAAAGCTCTTTGGGCAAATTCTTGCTTTTCAACATGCTTCGAACCATGTCAAGAATGGTTCTATTTTTCCGTTCAGCCACGCCATTTTGTTGGGGAGAATATGGAGCCGTCAAGAAACGCCGAATTCCATGATCTTCACAGAATTTGTTGAATGTGGCTGAAATGAATTCTCCTCCACGATCGGTTCTCATGGCTTTGATGAAATAGCCACTCTCCTTTTCAACTAACCTCTTGAATTGTTTGAACGCATCAAACACTTCCGATTTCTCCTTCAAGAAATACACTCAGGTTTTTCGAGTAAAATCATTAATAAATGTAACAAAGTATCGATGATTACCATACGACTGAGGAGTGATTGAACCACGCACGTCCGAATGAATCAATTCAAGTGGCTTCTTCGCTTGATATGTTGCTTTCTTTGGAAAGCTATTTCTAAAATGCTTACTTATAACACACTTTCCACATACTTGATTGGGATGATCAATATGTGGTAAGCCATACACCATCTTCTTGCGAGAGAGCATAATGAGTCCGCCAAAATTAAGATGGCTAAGCCTCAAATGCCACAACCAGGAAGGATCATCCACACATGCCTTTAAACATCAAGCCATTTCATTTTTTATATTGAGAAGAAACATCCGGTTCTTTGACATCTTCACATTTGCAACCAGTTTATTATTTTGGTCTCTTAGCATAGGGCTAAGATCTTTCATGTGGACAGTATAACCTTTCTCAAGAAGCTGTCCCAAACTCAAGATATTGCTTGACATTTTTGGAACATAATAAACATTAGAAATAAACTGATGTGCACCGTTCTTCGGACGAATCAAAATTGTACCTTTGCCTTCAACAAGAATTTTACAATCATCACCGAACTAGACTTTCCCTTTGATTGTCTCATCCAATTCGGCAAACATTTCCTTTCTTCCACACATGTAGTTGCTTGATCCGGTATCCAAATACCACGTATTGCTTTGTTCACCTTCATCTTCTTTAAACGCCAATAAAAGAACTGGATCGGCATCATTTACCAAGTTCGCTTTTTCGTCTACTCCACTACCATCTTTATTCCAACACGCAAAAGCATAATGACCAAGTTTATTACAATGATAACATCGAACTTTCGATTTATCATACCATTATTGTCTCGAGTTCGTTCCTCTTCCACGAACACCTTTTTGACTCTGGTATTGGTTTCCATTGCGGGCAACATCTCCTCTGCTTCGTCCACGACCTCTACCTTGAAATCGACCTCGGCCTCAACCTCGATCACGATCTTGATTAATCCCTCGAGACTACACAAGATTACTACTTTGGTCCTTCTCTTCTCGGATAGATAACCGACTTTGGAGTACTTCCTCCACCGACTCATTCTTGTTCCTTCTAAGTCTTTCTTCATGAGCTTATAAGGAACCTAGAAGCTCATCAATTGTCATAGCGTCCATGTCTTTGGACTCTTCGATCGCAACAACAATATGGTCAAACTTCTTGTCTAATGACCAAAGAATCTTCTCAATGACACGAACGTCTGAAACATCTTCATCATTTCATTTCATCTGGTTGACAATCGCCAAAACTCTTGTGAAATAATCAGCAATCACTTCAGATTCTTTGATACGGATTACCTTGAATTCGCCTCGCAAAGTTTGAAGACGGATCTTCTTCACTTTTTCTACTCCTTGGTGCATGTTGTAAAGGATCTCCCACGCCTCCTTTGAAGTAGAAACATTCAAGACCTTCTCAAACATAGAATCATCCGGGGCTTGACAGATGATCGATAGAGCTAATTGATCTTTTGTGCGAACCTTCTCCGAGTTATTCCTCTGAGTTTGATTCAAGGTGGCTTTGTCCTCTGGCTCATCATAGCCAGTGTTGACAATCTCCCATACGCCATGCGCACCGAGCAAGGCGTTCATTCTAGTAGCCCAATTACCATATCTATCTTTGGTAAGACAAGGGTATTGAAGAGGAAGTTGATTGTTTGTTGAGGCAATGATCACAAACCGTAAGCTCTGATATTAATTTGATGGGATAAATTTGAAGGTGAAACACTCACAATTCACACAATCTCAGAGAGGAGAAGGAGATAGATAGACTTTTCTATTCTCTTTATTTCACCTTATATCATATATCTTACATAATTATAAGACTTGCCTTTATATAGGCTTGATACATGACTCTTGAACAAACTCGTAAATGACTCTTAAATAAGACCAACATTCCAATGAGATAGACTCCTGGGAACTCTCAAAACATTAAATAGACATCGAGACATGAAGAGACATTTTGAAAGCAGCAATATAATAAAAACTCTATGTAACTCATGACACTGAACAGTCATCAATATCGTCAACTCGGCAGTTTATCGACGGTCTCGACATCAACGACATTTCATCGATTCCCTCAACAAGCTTGAAATAATGAATTTGGTTTAATTTCTAACAGCGATGGCGGAGGCGGCGGTGGGGGAGTGAATGGGGGGGGGTGGTGGGGGGGGCGGAACGACGGATAGGGAGACGGCGCGGAAGACTCTTTGTCGGGTAAGAAGCCATCGCGTTGATGGCACATACACCGAACGGTAGGTCGGTGTTTCTTCGTATCAGGAAGTATCCTTCCACGCCCCAATCTGTTCCCCAGGAGTTCTTCACAATCCAATAATCTTCGCCACCTTTAGAGCCATAACCAACTATTAGGACCGCGTGGGTGATGTCGCCAGGATTGTTTGAACAGTTACCGTCGTAGATTCCCTAATGTGTTGATTCGCAGAATCATCAATCAAATGGTTTGTATGCAAAATTGTTTTCGTGTGAGAACATAACGAATTAAGACCTACCGAAGTGTAGAGCTGAAAATCTTTTGCGGAGCCGTCCATGGCGACGCTAATCGGCTGTTGAACGACGGAGAAGAGAAGAGCATTGTCTGACGGATACACGACCACGTACCCGTCAATGCTCACCGCCTTGTTATACTCCTTCTGATTGAACAAAATCAACTCTAAATCAGATACATGGCAAAAGACTAATGCTATTCATCATGTTTCCTATGACGTCACACGTAATTCCCTCAAGAAGATGCGTATCGAATTTACTCCAAAACAATTCACTCATTGCATTTGTTTTGCCTCCATGGCCTAGAGACCAAATGAGACCATATATAAATTCAGGGGAAAGTGGATAAAGATACATTCTCATCAGTGAATTCAATGAAACATAAGCACATGATGTTCATAAACAAAAATTTATGAACTCTCAGACTTGCACATGCAGGATGTCAAGATACGAATCATACGGGACCGAACCTTGGTGACGTTGCAGACACCTGCCACGCCGGTGTAGGGATAGTCTTCTTCCGAATCGATTCCGCCGTTGTTGATGACCCATTCGAAGGCGTTGGTCATGTAGCCACCACCGCATCCATAGTTGGTGGTGACGCAGTCCACGAGCTCTTGCTCCGAAAGGCTGATCAGGTCCCCGGTTTTGAGTGCATTGATTCCTTCCATGGCTCCGGTCGAAGAGAATGCCCAACAACTTCCTATGATCGTGGATCGAGTGCAACATTCAAGCGATATTCGAGAGAAAATCACCCAAAAACACACAATAAACAAGCACCTGAGTGCCTGAACTGCGACTTCGATCACAATTTGCATCCATAAGATTGAGAACCCATAATTTACATCCTACTGTAACAAAATCTAGCAATTGGTTTAATAATATGCTTGGGAAAACATTTTGATCCTAAAGAATTGTTGATATTATCAGGCGACAGACAACCTAAACACAGGATCAAATTTAAAGTGTCACGTTACAAATTGTTGGTTTTGAATCGGGTTCTTCAAACACCGAGAATTTTTACTTCGTTCTTCCAGAAAATATGGAGCCGAAAAGCTCTCTCTCTTCTATTTCTGCTAAACTTAATCGTATCTATGAGCTACAAGCTCTTTATTTTGTTTCTGCGCATATCTAACCTGCATAGTGGTACAAAACAAGGATGCGAATATTCAATAATCCATACGGCCACAGCCTGATTCCGAAGCTCAATTATTTATTTCTGGTTGATCGGCAAATTTTCATGTTGTCGACGTCAAAGCGTATGAGAAGAAACTTTAGGGTTGTCAAGTCGAGGGAGGCTTTCCAATCCTCTTCTAATCTTACCAGATGGAATTTTACTAAGATCAGGCAATTCTCTTCTGCTCATTTCTCAGGCATATTTAACTTTCTTAAAACCTCTTTCATAGATCAAAACGCTCCAAGATTTCACCATTCCATCCTATTTTTAGCCTTCACACAGGCGATAACATGTGACTCC